CATATGTGTAAATACCAAATAGTTTCTCTAGTGTGAGAAACTGAAAGTGTAAATAAGGACTAAAAGGTATAGTAGATAATGTGAAATAGGAAGAAAGGGGGCAAAGGGGAAGGGGAAGTGGGAGGGGTAGGGGAAAGGAAAAAAGGGAATGGAATTAACATGAGAAAATGCAAAAATGGAAACAAAGTCTTTGTAAATAGGGAGGGATGGAGGGGCTGAAGGGAGGGCAGGGGAATGGGGAAAAAATGAGAACCAAGAGAGATCATGTAAAGGTGCAAATTTCTGATGAATGTCATTATATTGTATATCTAGAATGTAGCAATAAAATTAATTTTTCTTTTTTTGGTACTGGGGATCGAACTCAGGTCCTTGTGCTTGCGCAGCAGGTGGCGAAACCACTGGGCTAAATCCCCGGCCAATAAAATTAATTTAAAAAAAATCAAGCCAGATGTGGTGGTGCATGCCTGTAATCCTAACACTTGGCAGGATGAGGTGGGAGGACTGCCACAAGTTCGAGGCCAGCCTGGGCTGTACAGGGAGCTTAAGGCCAGCCTGAACTACACTGTAAGACCTTGTCTCAAAACCAAAAACAAACAAACAAAAAAATCAAACCAGGAATAGAACTTTCTTAATCCAATAAAAGATTTTTTTGCCCTCCCCAAATAGCCTTCTGAACACTGTGTAATGAAATAAAAAGCTTCAGCCAATAATGACAAAGGAGACACAGATGCATCTAGATGCTGCTCCAGTCTCAGTGCAGGAAGACAAGTAAATAAAAGGCACAAACTGGAAAGGAAGAAATGAGACTCTCACATCAGATCTCTTAGGAAAATCCAAGAATATGCACTGATAAGTTATTAGAATCTATAAGAGGTTGGCAATATTGGCATGTATAATGTATGAGTACAAAAATCATCTATCTTTACATAAACTCCGATAAGAAAATTGATTGAGAAATACAAACATTTATCAAGAAAATTATAAAACCGTACTGACATTTTAAAAAACATGGTTTGCTGGATATGGTAGTGCATGCCCACAGTCCCTGCTTTTCAAGAGGCTGAGGTGGGAGGATCACTAGAGTGCTTGAATTTGGGACTAGCTTGGGTAACACAACAGTTTGGAAAGCTTAATACTGTAATGATGTTTACTCTCCCGCGATAATCTATTGATGTACACAATTCTAAAAGGTATTCTCATGGAACTGAGCATAACGGATTCAGCATTTTCACAGATAAAGGGCCAAGATTAGCCAAACCACCACCAAACAGAACAGAGGGGTGCTCACCTGCCCCAAAACCAAGAGTCCGGAAAATCAGACTCGTGATGAACGCTTGGTGTTGAACAGAAAGTTCAAAAACACAACACACAATATAGGTGCAGGATGTACTTCAAAACTGACAATAATGACAACGAAACAGGCAGGTATTAACTTATAACCGTGAATGTGGACCATCCCTATCTCACTCTACACAGAAACAATCAGATCCATGGCAATTTGAAAGACCTAAGCGCAACAGATGAAAACATAAGGAGAACATACAGCAAAATATTTCTATGACCTCCACAGAAAGAAAGTCATCTTAAACAAGGAATAAGAGGGCTGCACCATAAAGGAGAGGGTGACCGTTGTGGCCACTTCAGAATAAACAGGTTCTGTCCATCAAGGGACACCATAAAGAGAACGGGAAAAAAACTGAACAAGTCATAAACCCAGAGAAGACAGTCACAGTTCATAAGAATGAAGAAGAGTTACTGTCTGGAATATAAAGAGTTCCCTCAAACAAGTAAGAAAAAGGCAAACAACCCAATGGAAAACAGACAGGAGCCTGGGTGCTTCACAGAACAGGAGGCCTATGTGGCTGGCATATAAATCAAAATGTGCTCACCCTCAACAATTACCAAGGAAATTCAAATTTCTACCATTTCTATGCTCACCCAACTGGTAAAAATAGAACTAATTTCTGGCAGCACCCAGGGTTGGTGAGGAAGGTGGCACCTGAAACACTTGTGCCATTTGAAACAGTACAAATATCGGACCCACCAATGTCCTCCTGCACAGAAGGCACTGAGAGGGTACAGGCATGCCACGGCCTCACACGTGGTAGGAAGGAAGAAGTCATCTGGCTGCCATGTGACAAGGGATGAACGTATACATCAGAAGATGGGTGAAACAAGGACATGCTTGCAGGACCACTGGGTGGTCCCAGGTCAACCACAAAGACCCCAGACCTACAGTGTATGCATTCCAAACACGTGTGGGGATCTACAAGAAGAACACAGTAAGAAGCAGGTCCAGATTCTCTGCACCAGTCATGTGGGGAGGGAGGGGTGCCAAGGAGGACATGTAAAGACTTCGGGAGACTTCTTTCCTAAAATGAGTGGTGGCTGTCTGGCCACTCATCATGTCATGTTTCTTTAAATTCTACTTTTGTCATAATTACAGTTTTAAATTTACTTAAAATTTAATTACTAAAGAGTTCCTAGTTATATCTACAGGAGAAATGGCCCTGCCCTGAGGGAGGGCTGCAGCTAGCGCCCCCCAATTCCCTTGCTCACTGAGTCTTCATGGCCAAGGTCCTGGAACCTTGCTCTAGGTGTCTCCAGTTTTCCTACCGGCCAACACTGCAACGTCTAGTCTCTGGCAGGCCATCTGACTTCTGAAAGAGGATTGCACTGTCTCTGCAGAGTGGCTGGGCCTGAGCACTTTAGAATAGTCAGGGCACCTTGTTTTCTAAGAAGCTCACAGAAGGGAAGCCTCTAACAAAACTGTTTAGGCTGGGGGCAGGTGCTCTTGAGGCCTCTCCTCAGAGAACTACACACCGCCATCTACTCATGCTGTGCTTTGGACCTTTTGGCAGTGTGTCCTCCAAAAGAAATGGCTCCTGTGCATGATTATTTTTCAGCTTTTATCACCAACATGGAGGTAATCCCAGAATTCCCTGCAGAAAACTGACCCCACATCCCAGTCCACCTTCCTACTCTCTGGGTTGCTGAATGGATGAACTACCCACAGGTCAGCAGAGGTACTGGTGAGCCAGGCCTCATCCAAGCACCCAGCTGAGTGGCCTTCAGGCAAGAGGACAGCAGGATGCTGAGGGTGGGCCCACCTTGTTGAAGACCCAGACCTCGCCGTTCACCGTGGGCCTGGGCACCCCATGGCCATTATAGTGGAAAAGGACACGTTCCTCCTTGGCATTCCGGCGCAGTGATGTGCAGAGTTTCTTGACTTCATCCACAGTGGGATCCAGGCTCTGCTTATACCGGGCCTGTGGTGGGAGAAGAAATGAGATGCTTGTCAGGGACTTGGAACAGCTAGAAGGCATACTCCTCCTGTGCTCTGGGTCGGTAGTTAGCAGCCAGCCCTGCACATATGACCCCAAGCTTCTGCATCTAGAGAAGTGAACAAGAGCTACATCACAGGGAAGGTGAGAGCCTGCTCCTCACTCATTCAACACATATTCACTGTGAGCCATGACAAAGACCAAAGGCCTGCCACATGGCAACCTAGGTCAGATGCTGTTGTTACACTGATACCAGGTGTTTCTCAGAAGCAGGGAATCCCTCTGAACACACTGGAACATGGAACAGAGACAAGCAGCTCAAATGGGGCCTGTAGTGTACACAGCAGCAGTGGCAAAGTTAAGAGGGAGACAGAGCTGTGAAGCACATTCCCGCCCTCAACTGCTCAAAACCCCCTACTCTTGCCTGGACCTTCACTGGCCATAGTGCAGGAGTCACCAATTAGCAGGACCTGAAATTAACATACAAACCTCAAGAGTCTTTATATATACAAACAATAGACAGAGGGCATTGCGGCAAAAGAAACCACACTAATAAAGCAACAAAAAGTAGGAATAAGCTTAAGAAGAGATGTACAAAATGTAGTTGAGAACTTGTCAACACTCTCCCGGAAAACACAGAATACTTGAACAAACAGAACAGTGTTCCTGCCTGGGTAGGACACTCAACATTCTGAAGATGCCAGCTCTCCCCAGGTCATTCACACATTCAATGCAGTCCCAGCCAATTTCCCACTGAGCTATTCTATGGAGTTAGACAAGCTGCTACTGAAGTCCACATGGGGAGTTGGGGGGGGGGCGCACAAGAAGATCCAGGAAAACACACAAAAAGAAACCCTATGGAGGACAGCCTCCCCAGCATCCCAACCTCTACCAGGGCCTCTAATTAAGATGGGGGTGGGAACAAGACCGTGGGTCAGGGAGCTGGAACACAGAGTCTAGAACCAGAGCCTTGCACTCAACTTGGCTTCTCATGAGTAGCATTTACACAGCCATAATATTCTGAGTGTTGATTCTGTTAAAGTTGTGCTAAGCTGCAGACAGGAGGTCTGGAGCAGGCCAGCGCAGACAAGTCTGGCCATGTGACAAGGATGCTGAAGCCAGTAAGGAAGACGAGGGTCTCTACTTCATATGCATTTCTCCTTGTTTGGTTACAAAGAACTTTTAATAATAAATCTCCAATAAAGAAGAATGGAAGGGATGAATATTAAAGCACTAGGCCACACCAGGAAGTCAATAAAAATGCCCCAAGTTGATAAATCAACAACACAAAGCACAAACATATTCTTCAAAAACATGGCCCACCAGAAAAAGACTGTGAAGAGGGTTTGCCTGTATGTGGGTATTATGCTCTGATTTCAAAAAGCAATATGTATGTTCACGACTTTGATAAACTGTTTGAACTTAATTTTTAGGGGTTTTTTTTTGGGGGGGGTAGTGGGAATCAAACTCTCCAGCTAAATCCCCAGCCCTAAACTTTATTTTTTAAAAAGACATAAAATAAATAAAATCCATGCCACAATATAGCTTGAGAGAAACTGCAGCAAGAGTTTGGACGAGCAAACAGAAAAGTAGCGGCAAATGAGTACCCGGGCCCACTGCAGACCTCAGAGGACAGCGGGGCCAGGCTCAGTAAGTGCCTGATGTTCAGAGGAGAGCAGAGAAGAGCAGAGCAGAGCAAAAGCTGGGTGAGGCATAATGTTTGGTTTCAGGTTTCCTGGCCTTTGGAGAAAAAAGAAGGTTACAATGTTAGCTTCTCTTCATTGATACACAAGGTCTGGGTTCATTAATTATATACATTATAACTACAATTTAAAACAATATAAACTCAATGTACTATTCAAATATAAACTTCTCAACGGCATACTACACTTCACACTAGGAGTCATCAGCTGAGGATGAATGTGAAAGCTTTAGAATGGCGTTTCCAGGTTCTCCAGACTCCTGGCACCTCTAAGCAAAGCCCATCAGAAACCACTGTACCACAGTGTAATTTGGGTCCTTGCCTAAGGTGGCAGGATTAGGGTCCAGTAAAATGGAATCCCTCTCAGTGCTTCCTCCCTCAGAAGCAGGATGCTACTGGCACAATAAAGTAGTACGACAGAGGAAACCGACAGAATGCTAACTCACAGTGCAAGGTTTTCAACTTCATTTTCATCCATCAAGCATTGTGTGTTGATGTGACATCCATATGGGGACTCTACCAGAACAAGGCTGGCTGCCTCTCAGGGAGCAGTGGGAAAGAGTATCAGGAGAAGGATGCTGCTGCAGACCTGGGGCTGGGGGCATCACTGCCCAGGAGACCTGCAACAACATCCAGCTCAGATGTCCCTGGAGCCTGCTCAAAGCCTAGCTCTTCTGCAAAATTCTTTGCTGAACCCCTTAGGCAGCAAGTATTCTTTCTTCTCAACTGACTTACTCTGCTCACTACACTTGTGGGACTGTCTAAATTCTATTCAGACTGGGAAGACACCCCTACAATTCAATTCAGCATGGGTACTGTTTTAATAGCCTTTCCATGGCTTTACAACATATACAGTTATTAGCAACTGTTGGTAAGTGACAATCAGATTGCTAATGACATTAATTAGAATAACTAGTAAAGAAACAAATTAAAGTCATCAAATCCTATCTGACACTGAAATGGCATAAGTTAATGTCGATGTATGTGGAAGAACAGGGAGATCTAGGTGCTCCACACTGAAGTGTCCATCAAGCCTTTCAAATGCTTTGCTATCTGAAATTCTGCATACAAAATGGCCAACACCTGCAACTTAAGGGAGGAGAGGTTTACTTGGTGAGTTTCAGGGGGCTCAGTCCCTGCATGGTTGGCTGGCTCCAAGGCAGCAGTAGCATGGTAGAGAAAGGCTCCTTACCCAATGGCAGCCAGGAAGCAGAGAGAGAACAGAGGAGCAGGGAAAAGAACACACCTTTCCAGCTATGCCCACGGAGGCCTACCTCCAACCAACCCTCAGCTTCCAGCAGCACATTCAGCTGTAAACTCATTCACTGGTGAGTACAGCACCCTCACAATCCAATCACCTTCCAAATGCCCCACCTCTGAATATATGAGGTTTTTGGGTCTAAGCCATTTTAGATCTAAACCGTAACATGAGTGAAGAGTGGATCCGTGATGTAATGAGTGCTTAGCACTCACAAACTCCTGGGTTTAATGCTCAGCCTGAAAAAACTTTGTATAAGAGTTAAGAAAATGGGCTGGGAATGTAACTCAGTGGCACTGCACCTGACTCGCAAACACAAGGTCCTGAGTTCGATCCCTGGTACCAAGAAAAAAAAAAAGAGTTAAGAAAATGATTGAGGTAGGGATCCAACTCTCCAAGGGGTCACAGGGTGTCAAGAGGGGGAAGCTCCAAAGTGGAAGAGCAAAAATCTCAGCACTCATGGGAGTCCCGAGGGCCACAAGTGGCCTTCGGAAGGGGTCCAGGCAAGGAGAAGGAGGCTTGGTTCCTCCAGCAGCTGCTGCTGATGTGAGATTTTACCCCAACCCCAAAGCTGGAGCTCTGGGCCCCATACACCCCATGCCCTCTCTTCCAGAGATCACAGAGCTGCTCAGACTAAAGCAGCAGCCATTTGCCACGTGGACCTATTCAACACTGGAAGTGTGCCTGGTCCAAACTGAGATGTGCCATTGGCCGTGGTGGAACACACCTGTAATCCCAGCACTCTGAGAGGCTGAGGCAGGGCAATCATAAATTTGAGCCCAGCCAGGCAATTTCCTAACCTCATGAGACCCTGTCGCCAACAAAAAATAAAAAAGGGCTGAAAATTATAGCTTAGTCCTTGGGCTCAATCCCCAGTACTGAAAAAACAAAAATCAAAACAAAAACTCAAACAACAAAAACCAAAATGAGATGTGCTATAGGTATAAAATATACCCTGAATTTTGAAGGCTCTCCAAATTAATAATTCTTATCCTGGGCTGGGAGTGTAGCTCAGTGGTAGAATACTTTCCTGGCATGTTCAAGGCCCTGCATTCAATCCCTAGCACCACAAAAATAAAAAATTTTTAAAGTATATATATACATATTATATATATATATATATGTATATATAACATATTGAATTGATAATATTCTGGATATATTGGGTTAAAGAAAATGTTTTATTAAATTTTTGTAAAAGGAAAGAAAGAAAATGACAGAGGCAGCCTGATTCATCACTGATGCATTGTTTATTTGTGCTCTGGGCAAGACAGCAAAGAGGCTGTATCTTAATGTTCTACACTTGGATTTTGCTTAATCCCATAAACCAAGATAAGAGTAGTTGATAAATGAAAACAAAGTTCTGAGGGCAATGAAGGAAACATTTTATTCAGATGTCATGACTTTGGCTATGTGCCCTCCAAACTGACATCTACGGAGATAAGTACATTCTGAAATTAGAAATAGAGATGGCTAAACATTATTTCCAAATGACAGATGCAAGAAACCAGTCAATGGTGGAGATTGCTTCAAATCCACACAGCAGCGAGCACCTCCTCTTGCCAGTACTTCCCCCACCCCCAACAAGAACTTTGAACATGCACAGAACCCAGTTAAAGCACTCTGGGCCGCACACCTCAGCCTACTGTGATATGGCCTGCATAAATCCAGAGCTTGGAGTTTTCTCTGAATCACAGCAGCTATTCTATTAAGGCTAAAGTGGGCAGCAAATCACATCCAATTATGGCAGATATTTTGCTCTGGACCTTATGTAAATCAAAATAAGTACCTATACATTTTCAATATAAGTTCTTTTTAAGATGCATCCAAGCTGAATAGATAGAAATGAGAGGTATTCAAAGAACATTTCAGCACAAGAAACTACAGCCAAGAGCAGCAGGGCAGAAGGGCCAGGGGTGCCTCCTGGAGGCTCCCCGGGGGAAAGGGGGCTTGTAGCAGGTGAGAAGGTGCTGGCAAATACTGTACCTGTTTCCGCTTGCAGGAATGTTTTCAGGTGGCTCCTGC